GATCCAGCAGCGTAAGCTCCGAGGGTCTCTTCGCAAAGTACGTATCGATCAAGAGCCTTAAGTTGTCGCTCGATTCTTTGAAATCAGCAGGCTCCTCTTCGGGATGCGTAAGTCTTCGCTTCTCTGGACGAAGAAAAATGGAAGAACACGAGAAGCGGGATGTTAGTTCACGACGAAAGTTGTGAAATCGTCACCTCATTTGGCTCGCTATAGAATTGACTAAAACCTCAACGCAGCTCGGTGACGATTGAGAGATAGAGTGCTTGTGAACCTATGGTGCGACGCCGCTGCCTCTCCGCAACTTGGAGCTTGGAAAGAAGGAAGAGCATGTGTGCTTTGAGCTGCCTTTGCCTGTTCCATGCCTCTCGTTCTGCTACTACTCTCTCGTGCCACTGGAAAAACAAATAAAAATGAAAACTTTCATGAGCTTGAGAGAAACGTACTTGAAGCAAGACTTGGTCTGTCGAATAAGTTTGATATGGATCGGTGATTCTTAATTGGCGATGGCATTTCTTAAAATCGTAAGCGTGACCACCCTGGAGAGAAAGAAAGAAAGAAAGAAAAAAAAAACAGATGGAAAGTGAGAAAAATCACTTTCTTTTGTAAAGGAGAGGCATCCAACTACGAGCTAAGATAGAATTTTTTGCTTACCACTTCCCAGGGTTTACACAAAGCGTGGAGCAAGACATCTGCGTCGTACTGGAGCTGTATGGGATGCTTCTCCTGTAATTCCTTCATCATCTTGGCCACCACAGCCTTCTCACCGGTGAGATCAGAGGAATCGAGCACCTTAGTCACCAGATCCATTGGCGGCAACTCCATCACCATCGCCCAATCTAACCCTAAAGACAAATGGGTGCGTCCACTATAATACTGCCACGTGGCTATTCGTCCAGGTAAGCTTAATTTTAAAGAAAAACACAAACCATTAAGATATTTCAGAATATTTTACTATTCGTTTTAAAACCACATATTTAAGCCAAACCAAAATAATTTTTTCTAGATACTTCAAGCTGGCTTTCATGCTGAATAATCACAACATTACTATTTGAATTACTATTTTGTTAACTTGCATCTTGATTATCCAAAACAAAGAAACCAACAAACACTACATGACAGAAGGTTGTTGGTAGCTCAAGCTTTTTTGATCAAGTTAGTATGTCACGTGTTATATAAACTCCACACATTCCAATCTCTAGTGAAAACATACTTTCCATCAAGTATTACAATCTCTAGTGACAACATACTTTCCAACAAGTATGAAGGCGATTTTCTTCTTAGTTTTCTTTGCAGCCTTGATCATCACTAACACAAAAATGGGATCTGAGGCTAAACAGCTAAAAGGATGTGGAGATAGCTGCCAGAGTATGTCGGGAGGGATTTGATTGCCTTGGAGGAATGTGTGACAAGCTTGAATGTGTTTGTGGAGCTTATTGCGGCCCAGGAACCAGTGGATGCTATGCAAATCTTCCATGCAATGAGGATTACGAGTGTGTATGTTAGTGAAATATTTACTTTGATGTAGAAGCTTATTTATTCAAAGCTGCTATGGTTCATATCATATAGAGTTGAAAAGCATTTTCTAGTATGAACTCATTCGCTTAGTCTTTAGGAAACAAAGTTAATTGTTTGAAAATGTATAGAGCAATCCATGCTGCATTTATCTGATTCAAAGGCAATGAAGAACAAAAAAGAACTGCATATAAGTTGCTCAAGGACATGTTTGCCAGAGGAGCGCTCCTTTGCTCTAAGAGATGGTTTGGAACAATACTAGAACTCTCTCGACTACAAATCATCTCTCATGAAAAACACAAGGATTTATTTTTTGATGTCTCTGAAAACCTACAAAAAAAGAAAGACGATGTTGTGAGGAATCAGCTCTCACTAGCTTTCAACGCAGGCGCCTCCTCCATCTCTTTCTCCTCTTTATCGTCTTGAGCCTCAAACTCGTTCTGTGCTGCCATCGCCTTGACGATTGGATCTCGCAGCTCGGCAATGAGGCCACCGCCAATCTTATACTCGGCCTCGTCGCCGGCGACGTAGATCCTTCCTTCGTGCCCGGCGATGTCAACTGCTAGAAGCTTGAAGTCATACTGGAAGAAGAACGAAGGAAAGTTAGTCCTACTGAAAGACCAAGGTGAGATTAGAAGAAAGATAGAACAATAGCGTTGGAGAACGAACGCAACTTTAAGATGAGAAGCGAAGAAAGGATGAGGGAAAACTGGAAGAAAAATGAAAAATCTGAGTGAAGAATCGAAGCGACTTCCGAAAGACGACGAGAGAACTTGCCTGGCCTTGTTTCTTCTTCGTCTCGATGCTCACGAGTCCTCGCTTCTCCGATCCTTGGATGGGGAAGATTAGAAAACACCGCTTGCTGCTCACTCGAGGCTTCAAGTTGTTGATCCGGAGGCCACCTCCGGTCATCACGTAGGCACGAATGTCTGTCCCGGAGAGAGGAGCGCCGAGCGCCTTGAGCACGTCCGCAGAAGTGTTGAGCCTACGCATCGCAATTCTGTAGACTGCATCGGGATTTATCGTGTATCTCGCTTTCAAAACCATTCCCTGCGCCAGAAGCAAAGGAACTAAGTTAGTGCACGAGAACAAGAACAAAACTAGAACCAAGGAGAGAATGAAAAGAAGAGAGGAAGCCACGATAGCTATAATAGTTTCCTAGAATATGGAAAGAAACTAAAAACAAAACCAAAAACTACAAACGAACGACGAAGAACCTCACAATGGAGGAAGCAAATCAAAGAGAACGAGGAAAAGTGAAACTCGGACGAGGAAAAGTATAGAAAGTCAGAATGGAGAAATAGAAAGAAACGAGAACAAGGAAAAGGCTGGAAACTCAAAATGGAGGAAATTGAAGCTCTCAAGAAACGAGAACAATAGAAATGACTGAGGTCAAAGAAAAGATGGAAGATAGAAGCTCCGAAAGAACGAGAACGATGAAAAGCATAGAAACTCACAATGGAGGAAGAAAATCAAAGAAAAGATAAGCTCCAAAGAAACGAAAACGAGGAAGAGGCTAGAAACTCACCATGGGAGAAGAAAGAAAAGAAGATAGAAGCTCCGAGAACGAGGAAAAACATAAAAACTCACAATGGCAGAAGAAGGAAGAAAAGATGGAAGATGAAGCCCCGGAGAAACGAGGAGGAAAAACATAGAAACTCAAAATGGCAGATGAAGAAATGGAAGATAGAAGCTCAAAGGCTAGAAAACTCACAATGTAGGAAGAACATCAAAGAAAAGATGGAAGATAGAAAACGAGAACGAGGAAAAGCATACAAACTCACAATGGAGGAAGAAGATCAAAGATGGAAGATATAGCAACTCGCAAAGCTGAAGAAAAAGCACTGAGCTCTTACACTGAAGGTGACCATTGCTGCTGCCAATGCGAGAAATCCATACTTGGCCATCCCTTCCGAGAGCGAGACGAACAAGCTCGCGATCCCAAACATCACCTTCCACAGGAGAAGGCAAGCGGCCAGCCCCACCGCTCCCACCACAACCAAGTAGTTCCTCCTCCAAAACGCTTCGATCTGGAGCTTGAGAGCTTCCCGATAGCTCACAAGCGTCTTGGCCACTGGAGCTGACACAGCCGATAGCGCTCCCTTCGTCCCCTCGGCGAATTCGCTGTTCTTCACGGATTCCACCACTGCTCGCGGCTTCTCCATCACTGCCTGCTTCATCTTCTCTTGCGCGATCCTCCATTTCTCCGCGAACGTCGTCTCGGTGGAGTGGTCGGTGGCCACTCCACGGCGCTGCCGCAATAGGGAGATGGATCTCTTCCACGGGAGGAGCGTCGATTCGGCGGCTCTGGGCGCGCAGATCGTCGAGAATAGCGCCGATCGAAGCTCCCAGCTGCTGCCCGGCTGGGATAGAACCCTAGACGAAGAAGAAAAGGCGATGGCATCGGCTGCGAG